AGACGCTGCCGCTCGGCATCCTGACCTTGTAGTCCCGCGACCGGCCGACGCCCATCACTATGCCCACCTTGTCCCAACGTGTCGTCGTCGGGTCCTGGACGCGGACAAAGGCACCAATCTCCAGTGGCTGAAGAGGGCGGGCACGGTCGTCATACTGAGCCTTGGCGTCCTGGGCACGTGAAGCGGCGCGGCGGTCGCAGCTCTCGGCTCTGGTCCGCCACTCCTTCGCAAAGGCCTTGGCGTGTGTAGGAACGCGAGAGCGGAGAGGGTGACCATACAGGATCTGGGCAGGGGAGCATCCTGTGTGGGTGGGAGTGGACGCTGGTTCTGGGCAGCTCTGTGCGGCAGCGCCAGGCGCGTCGCTCCTTGATTCACGCACCCTGCTGGTGGTGTACCGAGCAGCTGTGATCTGCTCGGGAAAGTCTCTGAGCACCACGTCTAACTCCTTGCAGTACTCCCACGACAACAAGGGTGTAGCGAGAGTAGGCTGCACGTCGATCCATCCGTGACACGACCCGTCGCCGTAAGTGATCTCCGCTTGAAAGGAACCCACAGCGTCCGGCATCTGGGAACCGTCCGCATTGTAGTACTGCAGCTGCGGCCGTGGTCCCAGGCCGCGTTTGGTGAGGCCCAGTTTCTGGAGGTGCTTCAGGCCTATCACCATAGTATCACCACCGGTGTCCGGTATCACCTCGATGTGACCCGACACATCACCGTGTGTGACGGCGACGCTGATGGTGGGGGAAGGGGTAGCCCTGGGGCGTGTGGTCTATTCCACCCTCCTGATGTGACTCCGCTGCTGCTTGGGGCTGCGTGGGCCATCTGGAGGGGGCTGCGTGCGAACCACCCCGAGGGAAGTGTGCTGCTTTCCTCCTCGTCTCGGGCTTTTGGGCTTGGGTTGGCGGCAGCACTTGCCGTAGTGTCCATAGCGACCGCAGGCCTGACACTTGCGGCCTCGTGCAGGGCACCTGGCTGTGTTAGACCAGTGGCTCTTACCGTCACATCCACGACACAGTGCATCGGCGGCCGGGCATGTCTTGGGGCCATGCTGCTTTCCACAGCTGCCACAGGAAGCACTAGGCGGGGGCGTGGAAGAACGTGCGGCAGCCTTCACGTTGTTGGCCGCCTTCTTACCCTTCTTGTATTGTGAGATAGCTCTCACAGCAGGTGGGGCCCGTAAGGCAGAGGTGGCGGACTTGGTGGCCTCGTATGACCGACATTCAGTCACTACCACCTGGAGTGTGGAGGAAGCGTCCAGGGGGATGAGTCGCTGCACCAACTCTTCGTGCCTGACACCTGTCAAGATCCCGTACTTGATCCAGGCTTCCTCACATTCCCGGCTGTGCGCCTTGCAGACGTCGATCTCCTCTGACAAACTCTTCAAGCGTACAAAAAAGTCGTCAAAGGATTCGTTCTCCGCCTGCTTGCAGCTGGTGAAGGCGCGGCGACGCAAGGCCTCGTTATTCCGACCTTTAACGTGCTCCTGTAAAAGGTCGAGCACATCCGTCACTGAAGATGTAGAATCGGGAGGCACTTGCAACGTGTGCTCCAAAACTCTCTGGGTCTCCAGCGACAAACACATCCGCAGTTGGATGAGCTGTTTGTTTGGAGGCATGCTGTCAAGGTCCACCATCGTGGAGTAATCTGTCCACCGGATGTCACAAGGAGTAGGGTGTACGCCTCCGTGCTCTGTGGGTACGACAAAAAACAGGCCAATGCTCAACTCTCAGCTCTAGACACACTAATACACTGACACTAACACTGCCACCGTCACTAAAACGCACTGTGACTGCGCAACACTGCACGTCGCGGCGAAACACAACACAACACAACACAACACAACACACTAGTCGACGCGCACGACGCGCACATCGCCGGCAATCGTAACGGTCTTGGCATTGTTCACAACACTTGTAAGTTCGCAAATCCTACTCACTGCGCCATGAAGGTTCCAAGTGTTCCCTGAAGAAGGCAGTGATGGGTAGGGAAACACCGGGTAACACTGAAGTCCATTTATTAACGGATAAGAGAAATACAAGTACAGTAGTGACTAGCGTGTGCCTTGTACGACCCACAGAGTCAGACTGAGACTGCCTTGCCATATGGCAGCCTCGGGGCAATGCTGCCACATAACACGTGCAGTGTTGCCACGTAATTACATATATAAATGCTACTCGGCACAGTAGCTTATTTACAAGGTTGCTACTCGGCACGGTAGCATAGATTCATAACCTACAATTAACATACTTAATCTCGTGTCAACGACGGTCCACAGGACGGAGTGGCGGTGGAGGACTCTGTGTGGTGTGGTGTCCCACTCCCTTTCAGGGATACTACTTAAAATGTGGTTTTTGGGTGTGAAGCGATGAACAGTACAACACTGTCTCACTGGCCCCCCTCTAAAGGTTGGCTAACATACCACTAATGGAAAATATATGTCCTAGTTATGCCTCGCCTGGTGCCTTATCTCTAGTTACTAGTAAAACAAACTTTGGAGTTGGTTGCGTGGGTAAGCCTAACGCAACCCATGACAATTTCATTGTATCGAGTGACAGCAAAGTAGGTGTTATCTGAACGGAAGCAGCAGCCCAGAAGTTACATTACAGCCTGGCTGATATCTTTACTGTCCTTCTCTCTCCTTAGGTCTGCATTGCTCTGCCTCAGGGGAACGAGATCTTTGGCCCCAAAGCCGACAACAGTCGCAGATATTGACTATGAGGCAACAGTCACTGAATGCCGCATAGATCTGCGGCTCAACTAACTCAACACAGCTAGGGTAGCTACTTTTGTATTAAGTTATTTAATTTTAAGGTAATAAAATGGCGGCAAAAGCGTGGCTATTGGGGGAGGCTGGAGGCCATTATTAAAAAAAAGCAGTAGTAGTAGTAGGAGTAGTAGTGGTCGTGGGACGGTGGGATGTAAAAGATGGACTTTTCATCTGGGAATCTTAACTTCTCAATCAAGAGCTAACACCAACACTGTGAAGACCAGAACCTCTCTCTCTCTCTCTCTCTCTCTCTCTCTCTCTCGTTCTGGATCATTACAATTCTATCGTCAGTAATTAAAAGCAAAAAGAACACGTTACTCAAATCAACGAGTTGGTGGCTACAATTAAAATTTGTTTGAGTGAGATCAGTGAATGACAACAGAGTATCGAAAACTTACCTTCATTACCGTGCAGTGATTTCCGGATACGGCCTCCAACCCGTACAGCCTTGAACTCATCACTTAACAGTGTACACCCTCCTGGATGAAGCCCAACTCAACCGCATAGCTACCGCAATTATTGTTGTTGTAATTTTCTATTCAACCCTTGTGTCACGGGTTCATGGTTTTTCCCGATTTCATAATTATCTTTCTTGGACTTATTCTCTTGGTTTTTATGTTTGCTATCTAGCTCTTGTAATGTTTAATTCCAACTGTCATGTCATGTGTTAATCCTTTTATGAATTATAGCATTGTCCTTTGTACGTTTATTGCTTTATCGTGATTATATAGTATTTTGAGGTAGGTGCTGGAAGAAATTGTAACATATACCTCTGTCTGGTTTGCAGGTCGCACAAGGATAGTTCATCAGCTTGTTTGCTCGTTTCATCAACACGGAGTTCAGCTGAGAATCCGTACACCTTGCATTATACCCCTTTTTAATGTTAGCCTCCAGCTTTGCCTTAGTAGATTCATAGTACAATGTGATGAAATAATCTGATCATACAATTTTGGTAACTTGTCTTATTTTTCTATGTATATATTAATTTAGCTTGGGTGGTTTATTGACTCCTGTGGTAGAGCCTGTGCCCCGGACCGGTGACTGCGAAGCCAAGACATTCGCTCTCCACTCGTCTAGTGCTCATTGTTGGCAAGGTTTGACTCTTTACCTAGGATAGTTTGACGGGCAAGAAATCTAAGTCCTTATTCTTTCTCCCACGTAGGCAGGTGTGTTCAAAAGTGTTTAATTTGTGCGACTTATGTGGTATTATTTTAGTTTCGGTCATCTGGGGAATCTTAGGAATATGACTATTGGAATCCGTAGTTTAGACAATTCTGATATTTTCTTCCTATGACTTTCATACACATGGGGCTGTCACTCTACACTGTTGATTGCAGTTGTTATATTCCTTAGATTCCCGGATAACCAAAAATATAACTTTACCACTTATGTACAGTTGCTGTCAAAAGTAATCATACATTACACAGCCTAACCCTTGCGCCTTACTGTACGTTAAATCACGTGGGGTGGAGAGTGGGAACGGACGACTTGGGGGAGAAGTTTGTATGAGGGGAAGAATGGATGTATGTTTTTTTCACTATATTATCTTAGGTTTTCTTGTTTAAAAAGAGTAATAGATGATGGCCCTTATTTTATACTCGTGTCCTATGTATCTCTTCACACTCGCAATAGATTATAAGTACATAACCTAACAACCGCCTTTTTGTTGCGGTTTATCCTCGTGGCCCATTCAATCTTTAAGTAGTGTTAACATGTGTGTGATCTTAAGGTGTTTCTTGTCTGGTGATTGATTAAGGAATGCTCTGGCGATTAAATAGTAAGGGGGGAGGAGAACAACTCTGACGGAGGAGCGTCTATAACTGGTTTAGACAAACTATGATAATTGGATGATTTTGAAGTATTAATCTGTTGTTTTGTTCAATTTTGTATATTTATGGCTTAATGACAACACATTCATTGCATCCATTTATTGCTCAACTGTGTAGTTGTGTAGCTGTTAATTAAAATAAGAAGATTTCATCATTTTTCTTGTATTAGACAGAGTATAGTATATAAATATTTTGTAATTGTATGGTTCGATCTTTTTACCATATATTATGGAATTTTCCTTTACACTTCACTAATTTTTTATTGTATAATATATCATATAAATACGTTTTTGTGTATCTATTCTACCTAAATTTTGAGAATCGTCTAATGTGTATGATCAGCAGCTTTGCGTACCAAGAGTAGCCGGGCTGACGCTGATCTGATTCTTACCTTTCAGCTGCTAATGGGTTACCTCTTCTCCTTGCCGGTCCACCCGAGGGACGTTCTACCGTCAACAGTCGTGCTCGATAGTGTATTCATTATGCAGCTGAGTGTGTAGGAGCCAGCGTAAGAGGGGGTAGCTCATTTCTTCATCCCATTCAGAAATCGGACCCAGGACCCTTCACTTACGAGGTAAATGCTCCGCCACAAAACAGCTACATAAACAATGATTATATTTCTGAATAAATTTGTGCTTTTGTGATCACACAATACTTAAATAATTAAATTGTTGATGACCCTCTGAAACTAAGACCCGAAGCATTTATATTTTTAAAAGCAAAATATTATTCAGAATGTAACTAAGTTTTTAGTCTATAACGTTACACAACGAGTGAAACAAACTGAGCCACATCATCAAATTTCCTGATGTATTATCTCCTATTAGGTTGTAACTGGGTTAAGCCTTCTACTAATTGTTATGTATATATATATATATATATATATATATATATATATATATATATATATATATATATATATATATATATATATATATATATATATAATTTTCATATTAATTTTCTTTCGCTTATTATAATGGAAACACGATCTAAGTTATGCTCACAGTAACAATATATCTATCCCAACAACACTGTCCAGAGCAAACTACCGTACTGCCTTGTTTAGGGTAGCGCACGCCAGCGTTCGTTGGCTTCTTTGTTGACATGTCAGGCTCTCAGTTCTGCTACCGCTTGTTCCAAGACCGGTTGCTTATCAAACTGTGATTGTGTGAGAAAAGATTAACATAACTGTGATTGTGTGAGAAAAGCTTAACTGATTGTGAGAAAAGCTTAACCGAACTGTGATTGTGTTAGAAAAGATTAACATAACTGTGATTGTGTGAGAAAAGCTTAACTGATTGTGAGAAAAGCTTAACCGAACTGTGATTGTGTTAGAAAAGCTTAACCGATCTGTGATTTTGGTGAAAAAGAAAATCATGTTAAGTTTGGTAATATCGATTTTTTTCAGGTATTGGAAAGTTATGAAGACTATATACTGTATAGTTGGTATGGATGTCGTGAAGTGAAGAAGAGTGACGAGAGGAAGAATGAAGAGAGGAAGCACACAGTTTGGTCCCAAGGAGAGCGAAGAGACCTAGGAGGTATGTGGAATGGGAATTATAGGGTGAGGGAAGTGGAGGAGAAAGGGAGAGTGGAGAGCGTTTAGGAAGACTAAATGAGGTAGAGGTGGGGAGGCGGGGGGTGGGGGTGAACGGAAATAAAGTCCACAGGAAAAAAAGTCACATGACTTGTACACATTGACAACACAATATATATATATATATATATATATATATATATATATATATATATATATATATATATATATATATATATACATATATATATATATATATATATATATATATATATATATATATATATGATGGCACTGCACGCAGGTTAGGTTAAGTTAGGTTAGGTTTTTCCGTGCCTTATTTTTTCTTTAACTTTTTTTTCTAGACCTTTTTTTCCTGGATTCGGGGGTGGTGGGGAGGACAGACGTAATTTTTTTTTCTTCTAAATTTGTCGCAGACAGCGGCTAGTATATTGTGCACCCATACTCATACTGTGAGTGGTAGTGCAAAAAGGATTACAGAGCAGAGGCCACAAAGGGTGTTTAACAGACCTCAGTCGTCAGGATATGTGGTACTAAATGTTAGAGTATTTTCTGTACAGTCTTTGTTTAGTTGTGTACATAGGACTTTACTTATCTACTGGGTGGGAAATGTGGATACAGTCTTGTATATTAATTATCTTTCCATCAGAAATACAGTTCTATGCCATTTCATCTGTTCATAAAGGGTTATATTTTCTCACAGTATAGGACGTAGTTTTAATGTGTGTCCGTAAGTTGGGCCGCACACTTTGCATTCAGTTTTGTTCACCCTTATCCTAACCTTAGTCTAGCGGTAATCTCCAAATTCAAGTTTAATTTGATGCGTCTTTTCATGCTTGCCTCAAATTCACCAGCAAGTTCTTTATTGATTACAGGTTTTAGGGTTCCAATTGTTAGACCTAGTGGTTAATATATAGGACTAACCCGCCAGGGCTAGTCCTGTGACTGATCGAATTAGCATTCTCCCCAAATGCATACAGCTGCAGTATAAGCTCCCTAGTAGAACTAGTGCAGACACACCGTAATCTGTGGGACCACACAAATACTCTCAACACTAAAACCAACTTGAGGGCCTCATGCGCAAAAATGGCTGAGAGCCTGTCAATTATGGTCGGACCCACAAACGCTTTCTGTGTCTCCTTGGACTCATAGTGCATAATAATACTTTCATAGCAGCAAACATCACTTGGTTTCTGGCGTCCATCTTGATTGTTTTGAACTGTGATGGTGATAAAATAAGCAACAGTGTGGCTTCGGATGGTGTTACAGCGATTCTGTCAATTATTCTGAAATTAAAATGCCGATAATGAGTTACCAGAAATATTTTTAGTGTGATATCGCCTTAAGGAGTCACTGATGAGGAGACTGTCTGAGGGAGTGACCAAAAAGTTTCAGGGCCGTGATGATGGCAAATATTTAATTTTGTAGAGTGGAAGCCCAGTTATTGATTCTAACTCCTTCTTTATTGTATTACTGTTAGGATGAGTCACAATGATTACACTTCCTGTCCAGCCCTACTACAGACGATGTTTAGAGAGCAATCAGTGTAGATAGAGTATGTGATGTTCTTTTCAGTCTGTTCATTAGGAATATGTTGAAGAGTTTTGAATTTGGCGGTGTGATGAAGATAATAATTGTATGTACTTATTCTTTTGGGCGGATGTGTGATTGCCGTGATGTCGAAGGGGACTGTCTGTTGACAGGAAACTATATTTTTTCAGCTTTGTACAGGTTGTCTAATCCAAACATCCTCATAGGTGTAGCTGTAGTTTGGATCCATTTAGATTTACCAGTTTTATGACTCTTATAGTCTAGCAATTTCATGAGTACAATGTTTTTCTGGATCTCCACGGAAAAGCTGCAGAATTATCATGAGGTTGATTTCAATTAATCTATCTCTGAGAGTGAGCATTCCTACTTTTCCTCATATTAAGTCTTGACCTCGGTACGGGCCATCAGCCCCCACCTACCAGAGGGGCCGCCTTGGGGGACGTTAAGGGTTGGGGTCTTTGCACCATCAAGGGCAAACTCTTGAATCATGGGGTTCTCCTTCGCAGTGAGCTCTTGGTATTCTGGGCTCGCCTCTGTTCGTCTCCTGTTTGGTGTAGGTACATGATCTCTGGGGTCCTCTATCATTTAATTAATATTTTATGGTTGCAAACTATAAAAATCAACTCGTTTGGCGACTGACCGTGCCTTTGAGTCTTTCACTTCTGGTTAACTGACTCGGCGAACCCTTCTGGAAACGACAAGCCCGCTCCCAACAAAGCAGTAGCCCCGTCAAGGGGTACTGTTAAGAGGGTCTGTGGCAAAGATTAAAATAATGCCGGGGGTATTCCATCCCTCTTCGATATAATTATATAGTGTGCTCCGCTCAGAAGGTGGAAATTAATTCATGGACCTTGACATGCTTAAGGTATATGACGAGATAGTGGCTGCGGGTGTGGGAACCAAAGATGCAAAATCAACCCGATGGGAGTCTTTGTGGAAGGTTTTCCACAAGTGTGAGTAAACGAGTAAAAATAATGAAAACTCTGCTTCTTAGTCACCTGTCTCTTGCACCTGAAGTGAGACATTTAACTAAAGTCTTGGCGTGGTTTACGTGCCATCTTTGTTCATCGTACAGAGACAGACATTTTGGATGCTTTGAAAATGTAGCACATGGCCAAAGTTATGAGGGTGAAAAGGAAGTGGATCCAGTGCTCACTCCTACACTCACCCGTTGATGGCCCGGGCTGGTCTCTTGCCATACTGTGTGAGGTCACGTAGGCCACATGGTGCAGCAACTCATCCGTCGATGTTGACATGAAGGACCTCACGAGGACATAAAGATACCGGGTGATGTGGTGCTCACGTGGTGCATTAACTCGCCCATAGGTGTTGATATAAGAACATAAGAAAATAAGGAGTCTGCAATAGGCCGGTTGGCCTGTGCATGGCAGCTCCTGTCGAGAGTTACTACCACTCTCTATCATCCATGAATCTATCTAGCCTCCTTTTGAAACTTTCCAGAGTTCCCGCACTTACTACAAAGTTGCTAAGCTTGTTCCACTCGTCCACCACCCTATTTGTGAACCAGTTTCTTCCTATCTCCCTCCTAAACCTAAACTTATCCAACTTGAATCCGTTGCTCCGAGTCCTATCCTGCTCGGATATTATAAGAACTTTATCTATATCCCCTTTATTGATTCCTTTTCACCCACTTAAATACTTCTATCATATCTCCCCGCACTCTTCGTCTTTCTAGGGAATGCAAGTTAAGTTTCTTTAACCTATCCTGATATGGAAGGTTTCTAAGTCCCGGAATCATTTTTGTCATTTTTCGCTGCACCGACTCTAGTGAATTTATATCCATTCTATAATAGGGGCACCAGAACTGAACCGCATAATCGAGGTGCGGCCTGACTAGTGCAAGATGTAGTTGCAATAAGACCTCTGCACTCTTATTACTTCCACTTCTAGATATAAAACCCAATACTCTGTTTGCCTTATTTCGACCATTAACGCACTGTTTTCTAGGCCGTAGGTCCGGGCTTACAAGTACCCCTAGGTCTCTTTCACAAGTCGACTTCTCTAGGTTGATGTTGTTAAGGCTGTATACATTATAAGTATTTGTTCTTCCAATATTAAGTACGCTGCACTTGCTGGTGTTGAATTTCATTTGCCATTTTTCAGACCACCCCTGCAGTTTATTTAGATCCTCCTGTAATGCATTTGCATCCTGCCCTGAATTAATTTGCCGCCCTATTTTGGTGTCATCCGCAAACTTGCTTATGTCACTGCTGATCCCAGTATCTAGATCGTTTATGTAGATTATGAACAAGAGTGGGCCTAGTACTGACCCCTGGGGAACCCCACTGGTTACACGGCCCCACTCAGATTTAACACCATCTACGCTGACCCTCTGCGTTCTATCGGTGAGCCATGATTTTATCCAATTTAAAACTTTCCCCTCGATACCATGAGCCTTAATTTTTCTCAGAAGCCTCTGATGCGGTACTCTGTCAAATGCTTTGCTAAAGTTTAAGTCAATAACATCGTAATTTTCGTCATTATCTACTATTTCGAAGACTTTCCTAAAAAACGTTAGCAGATTTGTTAGACAAGATTTTCCCTTTGTAAACCCATGTTGAGAGTCGTAGATTAATTTGCTTTTCTCTAGATGCGATCGGATGCTATCTGCTATAATTGATTCAAGAAATTTTCCCACTACTGACGTCAAACTGATCGGCCGGTAATTTGACGCTGATGCTCTGTCTCCCTTTTTGAATATGGGTACTACATTTGCCTGTTTCCACAAGTCTGGCACAACTCCAGTGTCTAATGATTTTGTAAATAAGTTTACGAGGGGTCCGCTAATCTGTTCCCTACACTCTTTCAAGACTCGAGGGAAAATTTCATCCGCCCTGGGGATTTTGTTTTTTTAGTTTATTTATCTTCTTAAGAACATCCTCTTTTCTGATAGTGATATTCTTTAATTTCTTTCCTTTTCCCTTAAATATCAGTTCCACCTCTGGAATTTCATCGCAAATTTCTTCTGTGAAAACTGATAAGAAGTGCTGTTCAATGTTTTGGCTTATTTCTTACACTGCCATTTATCACTTCCTCCTGACTTTAAAGGCCCAACTTGTCCTTAACCTTGTCCTATATACCTGGAAAAATCCCTTGGGATTCGCCTTGATTCTTTTGCTATTTGATTTCATAGTCTCTCTTCTTTGCTTTCCTTACATTTTTCTTAACATTCCTAGATAGTTCATTATACCTATTTCTGAGCTGCTCCTCCCCTCCCTTTAATTTCTTATATATTCCTTTCTTTAGTCCTATGTCATGTTTAAGTTTTCTGGTCATCCACCTTGGCTCATTCTTATTTGACCTAATTTTTTTGTATGGTATATTTTGTTCTTGTGCTTTATGTAGTATACTAGTGAATATATTATAGTCATGATCAATTGTTGTGTCATCTATGACCTCACCCCTTCCTACTGGGGACTGACGTGACTGTTCCCAGGTGACCTCACCTAGGTACCTTCTTAACCCCTGATAATCTTCCAACCGAAAGTTTCCCAATTTAGGGTGAACCTGATTTCTCTGTGATCACTGTTTCCTAGTTCTTCCCCTACTGTGATATCTCTGATAATATTTTCTTTATTTGTTAATACTAGGTCTAATATATTGTCACCTCTAGTAGGTTCTGTAATTAGTTGTTTCAAAAAATTGTCCTGTACTGCGTCTAGGAAGTCTTCAGATTCATAGTCGCCTACAATGTTGTCCCAGTCAATATTTCTGAAGTTGAAATCCCCCATAATGCATAGGTTGTTATATTTTGCTGCCCTTCTCATTTCCTGCCATATGAGCTGAGCTGCTTCTTTGCTAAGACTTGGGGGCCTGTAAATCACTCCCATAATTAGTTTTTCTCTTCCTTCCGTGATTTCTACCCACACAGACTCGGTTCCTATTTTACCCTTTATTGAATTATTAATACAACATTTTAATGTATCCTTGACGAAGAGTGCGACCCCTCCCCCTTCCTACCTTCCCTGTCTTTGTGGTCTCATGTGTCTCACGTGGTCATGGAGACACCGGGTGGTTTGGTGTTCACGTGGTGCAGTAACTCATCCTCGGGAGTTGATATGAAGAACCTCACGTGGTCATGGAGACACCAAGTGGTGTGGTGTTCACGTGGTGCAGTAACTCGTCCATAGGTTTTAATTTGAAGGACCTCACGTGGTCATGGAGACACCGGTGGTGTGGGGTTCACGTGGTGCAGTAACTCGTCTGTAGGTGTTGATATGAAGGACCTCACGTGGTCATGGAGACACCAAGTGGTGTGGTGTTCACGTGGTGCAGTAACTCGTCCATAGGTTTTAATATGAAGGACCTCAATGTCTCATGGAGACACCGGGTCGTGAGGTGTTCACGTGGTGCAGTAATTCGTCCTCGGATGTTGATACGAGGACCTCACATGGTCATGGAGACACCAGTTGGTGTGGTGTTCACGTGGTATAGTAACTCAAACTCGGGAGTTGACCTGAAGAACCTCACGTGGTCATGGAGACACCAGGTGGTGTGGTGTTCACGTGGTGCAGTAATTCGTCCTCGGGTGTTGATATGAAGGAACTCACGTAGTCTTGGAGAAACCAGGTGGTGTGGGGTGGTGTTGTAAGGGGGGGGGGGTAAAATCTCTCAACTCAATCTGCCCCCCTTGTCTTACTCAGACTTCTCTAGTCTTAGTTCCTTCAATTGTTCTTTCTACTTACTTCAGTTCAATGGTTACTACATAACCTCAGTTCTTTGGTGACGTGGTGGGATGTAATTTACATGGTATCAGGTCAGGAGGAATAAATGTGATACTGTGGGTATTTTTTTTTCAAGTGTGATTTGTATTAACCATTTCTCTGTACAGGAACCTAACCATTTCACTGTAACTAATGAATATTTCAGATTGCTAATAATTTTGTTCCGTAATTTTTCCAGTGTACAGTGTAGTATGTAATTCTGTGCAAAAAAAAATTGTGGTTTTACGGAGAAGTTGAAAACAGTTCAAGGTAAATACTTTACTTGAAGTTAGGTTAGAAAGTGCTTCAAGGAAATTAGAAAGCTTTATTTAAAGTATAGTGTACAGTAAAGTGTGGAAACAGGAAATGTTCAGACTATTGAAAAGTGTCTGAGAAACAAAGGTTAGCTATGTAACTTGTATTTTTTTAGTCTTTTGTGAAATCTCAGGAAGGTGTTGGTTGTATACGAAGGTAACATTTTTTTGGGTGCCTTCTACACTGGTACCAGAGCAACGGTTGTGATCACTGGAGTTAATACTTTGATATTTACAGACAATGAGCGAGCGGTGAACATCTGTGTTAAGAGTGTTGTGGGCAGTGTTCATTTCCGAGTGTCACCGGAAGGCCATAATTGTACTAAGGTTATGTAACTCAGTGTTATTTGTAATTGTGACATATTTTGGATGTATTGTTTTGGTTTCAATTGTTAGTGTTTTAGTTCTCAGTTGACGTCAGTTTTAAACAAGTGAGTTTATTTGTATAACGCGAGTTGTGTTATATTTCCGAGAATATTGTGTTGTTTCTACTAGTTTATGATTTTAATGCCAAGGGCATTAGTTTCTAGAAGTGTAGACCTACAGGCATGGTCCGTAAGAGTGTTTCATGTTTATTTGAGATCTAATACATGTATAATTTCAGGAATTGCATTGATGGGTTGAGGACTCTCTGGTGATATGGACATGTGTGAAAGAACCCAATCTTTGAAAATTGTTTGTGGGAAAATACATGTAATGAAAGGACTCCCAATTGTGAGTACAACAGAGTACATTGTGAAGTGATAAGTGTTAAAATCATTGCAATTGAAAAGACAGTGAATACTTGTTGAGTACCAAGGGGACAGTCTCGTAAAGTATTACAGTGGTATCAATTATTTTTTTGGGGGGCAAGACTCGCAGTAATGGAAATGTCTATGGTTCTCTTTAAAGTTAGTTGATTTTCGAGAGTACAGTGGAATTCCGGAAGAGTTCATACAGTGTTGCACCATGCAGAGATTGTCAATAGTAAGTATCATTACCTTGAGTTTGCACAGTGAGTCTTGAAAAGTAACAGAAGAGTACAGTGATGTTTTCCTTGTGTATTGTTCAGTGAAGCCCTGAAGTAAAAGTTCACATGTCCAGTATTATCACTAGGGGAGCGAGTAATAATTTGAGCAGTATTTATGCAGTAATTCTGAATAGTATTTCTAGTGTTTTTTGGGTATTAGAAGGTCAGTTAGGCAGTAATCCGATTGTATTTGAAGGTGTGCACTGTGCCCGTGTTGTGTAGTTACAGTGAGTTGTTGTGACCTTCAGGCATGATGGCCGTCACAAGGGAGCAGTTCAGGGCAGTCAGCTCAGAACCTGTGTCCAGTGAGTTGATGGGTAGAGTTGAGAAGTATGTGGGTGGAGACGTGTTCATTCACAGGAATGACACCCAGGTCTCACCACCAGTTGCTTCATCTGGTGAGTGGCCTGATGGACAGGGAGGTGTAGAAGGGAAGAAGAGTAAGGAATGCCTCTCTTGCATCAGTGTTGCCGAGATATCTTTGAAGGGTTGTAGACCTTTGCCTGGAATGCATTGGTTTTAATGTGCATGGTGAAGAGTGATGTTTTGCATATTTGTGTTGCAATTTAGAAGTACAACTGGTAAGTGAGAGAATGTGTTGTTGCTTTGCATCATTAAGTTGTGGTAAGTGAGTATGTTGTTTGTCCATGTGAGTTGTGGAATGTGGTGCAATGGGAATGTTTGTGAGTATGTAGGTGTTTGTGAATTTTTTTCTTTTGATTTTTTTCCGGAGAGGGATTGTCAAGTTGCAGTAAAGACATAGAGATTGGAAGATGGATTGGCTGTTATGCAATCATCTGGTGGGTATCTGTTACCAGTTGAGTAAAGATATCAGTTGTGAGTTCTCAAGTTTTGTGGGTTAAGTCCTAGCTAGGCTTGCTGTTGAGTATAGTAGTAGAGTTTCTGACTTTTAGCTGGGGTCAGCCACGGTTAAGCATGGCGCTGATTTCTGCTAAATGGCAAATGCCATAAGAAAATACCGTTTCGTTTTGAATCGTATTCTTGGGAATATCACCGCTCGTTCGGGGTCCCTCGAAGTATGCTACGACTCGCGAGTGTGACATGACTTTTTGGAATAAAGTCAAACAAATCATTCCTTCGGCTGGATGGGGTCCGTTCATCTATGTCCTTGCTTGAGAAGTCTAAGTTAAATCTCAGTGCTGTGGAGTAAGCATTTGATCAATCTCCTCTTTGAAATTATTTTTTATATGAGAATCTGTATCTCCAGAGTGTGTATTTTGTAACAAAATTTTTTATGTTATGTATGTAACCGAATTTTTATGTTTTTCTGTATCATTACATATTTCTCCTAAGTATGTATAATTACCTGTATTTTGTTTCCCTATTCAATGTTGTCAGTGATAATATTGGTTTTTTTTACTACCATTTATCCCATGTATGTACCCATTGTGTTCTTGTTTTGTATGCCTTTTTGTGCCAGATGCCTGTAATTTTCCTGATGTGTTGCAATGAGCATATATAGTGTGACACCATGATGAAAGGTAAACGTTATTTAAAGAATCTGTGTAATTACTGTACATGTTTAGCGAATGCTACCGCATAATAAGAATCATTGGGAAAGGGGGAGCTTTGTCATGGTCACAATGATGGCTAGTCTGTTTTAACTCTGTTGAATCTTATTATGCTACACGCCCGCAAAACATGAATGGGTAGCTGGTTAGCTATCCCTAAGAAGAAACGCGTTTTTCCCTCTCTCGTTTTACAATAAGGATCCCTCCGTAAGCCCCACCTTTGTGAAGACAGTTGTCAATACGTTTTTATTCCACTTTCTCTTGGCAAGCTCAATCTTGAATTAATTTATGTGAATCAACTTTAGTAATTCGCCAGACCTTTGTCAACTGAGGGTCATTTATGAATGTGTAACAGTTGGTTTGTTTGTGATTTTTGTAATTGCGTGACATAGCCACATCTGGCAACTCAGGGGTATATAACCCCGAGCGAGGAGGAGCTCGGTCTCCCGTGACGACCTCTTCCGTTGTTCCCCAGGTATGTAGCTGTGTTCCCCTGCAGATATTGCCAATTCAGTTTGATTTAGTAAATTTTGCGAGTATCAGTGTTCATGTTGTAACAGTGGAATTGTCATTCACCCAGGGTGAGAAGTAATATAAAGTAAATTTCGTCTGACATTGCCAGACGAGAGATTGTTTGTGATTGTCATCAGCCTCCCTCCCTTGACAACCTCTCCCGTTGTTCCCCAGATTCACCAATGGGTTACAAACATCATCAAGTGTGTGGGCCCTTAGAACACCCACCAGCCGCCTGGAGCAAGTGGATAACTAACAGTTAGCTGTAGTGCCCGATGTCGATGATTCGACATGATTAAAACTGCAAGTCTGCCTCGTGGGGCTGGACCCTAGACTGTCACCACGTGTCCAACTACAACCGACCAACAGTGGTCGTCAGTTGTTGAGTGTTCTACTCTGGGACATGCCTTGTAGTTATATGGTCCACAGTGTTTGTTGTATTTGATTGGGGATAATTAACTGGAAATAATTATCCCATGTTGGGTAGTGAACCCATGTGTAAGTTGTGGGTTCCAGTAATAACGTGTTGTGTGTTGTGAGTACATCTCATATGTACTAAGAACAGTCTGTGAAGGTATCATATGTAAGTGTCTTATAACTGGATGTAATGCCATGTACCACCAATAAGATGTGTGAGAAGTAAAGTTGTCCACTTGGGACTAACTGAGTAAAGCCATGGAGTTGATCCTGGTAACTGTTAATGTAATGTATCACCAGTAATGTGGGAGAAGGCAGTGTACCCATTTGGAATGGCATGTGAGTAAAGCCAAAGAGTTGTCATGTGTGTATATGTAATGCGAGTAAGGCAAAGGAATTGGTCCTGGTAACTGTATTGTAATGTAACACCAGCAAGGTTGTGTGTGGCAAGAGTACAGTATCTGAATATATTGCAGTTGAGTAAAGCCGAGGTGTTGCACCTTGGAGTTGTATGTTAATGATATCTTTCTCCCTACTTTGATTTCATATTAATAAACCTTTTCTTAGGGTATATTAGGGGTATTCATTTTCCCGCAGTAATGTAAGGGGGGGGTAAAATCTCTCAACTCAAGCTGCCCCGCTTTTCTTACTCATACTTCTCTAGTCTTACTTCCTTCAATTGTTCTTTCTACTTACTTCAGTTGAATGGTTACTACATTGTAGGTTATGTATCTAAGCTACTGTGCAGAGTAGCAACCTTGTATATAAGCTACTGTGCCGAGTAGCATTTATATATGTAATTACGTGGCAACACTACACGTGTTATGTGGCAACATTGCCTCGAGGCTGCCATATGGCAATGCAGCCTCAGTCTGACTCCGTGGGTCGTGCATGGCACACGCTAGTCACTACTTGTATTTCTCGTATCCGTTAATAAATGGACTTCAGTGTTACCCGGTGTTTCCCTACCCATCACTGCCTTCTTCAGGGAACACTTGGAACCTTCATACATAACCTCAGTTCTTTGGTATCATGGCGAGGGCCAGCACGTGAGTCTTGTAATTCTGATATCGGGGTCACTTGGACGGAAATAAAGGTGAACTACTGCGGGAAAATTAATACCCCCTAATATACTCTAAGAAAAGGTTTATTAATATGAAATCAAAGTAGGGAAAAAGATATCGTTAACATACAACTCCAAGGTGCAACTCCTCGGCTTTACTCAACTGCAATTTATTCAGATACTGTACTCTTACAACACACAACCTTGCACTCACAACACCAAACACGTTATTACTGGAACCCACAATTTACACATGGGTTCACTACCCAACATGGGATAATTTTTTCCAGTTAATTATCCCCAATCAAATACAACAAACACTGTGGACCATATAACTACAAGACATGTCCCAGAGTAGAACACTCAACAACTGACGACCGCTGTTGGTCGGTTGTTGTCGGACATCTGGTGACAGTCTGGGGTCCAGCCCCGTGAGGCAGACTTGCAGTTTTAATCATGTCGAATCATCGACATCGGCCACTACAGCTAACTGTTAGGTATCCACCGGCTCCAGGCGGCCGGTGGGTGTTCTAAGGGCCCACATACTTGATGATGTTCGTATCCCGTTGGTGAATCTGGGGAACAACGGGAGAGGTCGTCACGGGAGGGAGGCTGATGACTATCACAAACAATCTCCCATCTGGCAACGTCAGACGACATTTACTTTATATTACTTCTCACCCTGGGTGAATGACAATTCCACTGTTACAACATGAACACTGATACTCACAAAATTGACTAAATCAAACTGAATGGCTATATCGGCAGGGGAACACAGCTACATACCTGGGCAACAACGGGAGAGGTCATCACGGGAGACCGAGCTCCTCCTCGCACGGGGTTATATAACCCTGAGTTGCCAGACGTAGCTATCTCACGCAATGACAAAAATCACAAACAAACCAACTGTTACACATTCAAAGATGGCCTCAGTTAACAAAGGTCTGGCGAATTATTGAAGTTGATTCACATAAACTAATTCAAGATTGAGCTTGCCAGGAGAAAGTGGAATAAAAACGTATTGACAACTGTCTTCACAAAGGCGGGGCTTACGGAGGGATCCTTATTGTAAAGCGAGAGAGGGAGAAACGCGTTTCTTCTTAGGGATAGCTAACCAGCTACCCATTCATGTTTTGCGGGCGTGTAGTATAATAAGAATCAACAGAGTTAAAACAGACTAGCCATCAATGTGACCATGACAGTGTCACAGTACCTCAACCTGCTGCGTGGTGTTGTGTTATCTGGTAGTCAGGTGTATAGCCGACCCAATGTTGTTCCCATGGTGGACTGATTAACACCGCCTTGTCAGAAGATCGTGGTCAGTTCTCAGGGGTGCTTATCTCACTGGTGGGTCACTGCTCTTGCTGGTAGTGTCTAGTGCTGAATTCACTGGCTTAAACACTGTTCATTACTGTTCAACACTGATCCCACTTCTTTCCGAAACGAAATTGTCACTTTTGTTAATGTTGATATCCCGGTGGTGAGGATGGGTCGGGGAGAGGCACTTGGGGAATGAGTCGAGCATTTCCTTGTGTGCGTGGAGAAGGGGTATGTATGTGTGTATGTATGTGTGTTCTGTGTGTGAGGTGAGAGTTGTGTGTATGTGTGTGTGTTATGTGTGTGTGTGTGTGTGTGTGTGAAAGCTTAACCGCAGTGGGGATTTTCTTGATAAGAACCTGCAACTAAAGGCTCAGCCCTCGGCCTCACTGAAGACCCTCCTAGCACCATCTGAGGACAGTGCATCCTCCTAAGGCGGGCCTGTGCTGGCCTCGACAGGCAATGCCACTTCAACGGCTTTGGGGTGCTGCCCTTACAACTTCATTGCCAACCTTAAAAGTCTCGTCCTTCCTGGAGGTAGAATGGACAATGAAGTGTTGAAGAATCCTGCACCACCGGGACTCCACATTACTACGACAGATGTTGTGGTGTCAAAAGATGCTACAGCCAAAGTAAACACCCGAGGGAATCCGACTGTGGTCCCAGACTACTATTCTGACTCCTTCTCACAGGTCCCATTAGAGAGTTCAAAGGGAGGCTTTTCCTGTGGAGAGGCAGCCTCCTAAACTTGGGCACCTCCTGGCCCAGGAAATAGAAGAATCCCGGATAGCGAGGGTCCTGATCAACATTCCAGACTTCCTAAGTAAGGGTAAAAGTTCTAAATGCACCTCTACGTAACAGTATTAGCAGCTCTTCTACAGTGGAACTACAGAGGCCTGGGGACTAACTGGGAGGAGGTACAGCTTCTTTTTGCCCAGTTCTCCCCAGCATGCATTTGGCTACAGGAGACAGTGGTAGAGGAAGCTGTAGTTCTCCCACACAGAGTTACTCCGGCTTGCACTCCCTGCATAGTCCTGATTGGGGGTGGGGGGGGCAAAGTGGCGGGCGTGCGGTGTATATTCTCCTGAGAGTTCCCTTTACAAAGTTTCAGAGTCAGTCTCTTTTACTGTACAGGTTGCTACTGTCCAACTCTACCTGGTGAAGAGATTCACAGTCTGTTCATTGTAATTGCCACTGAATGGGGGGGGGGGGCATCTCGTCCGACCCGAGGGGTGACCTTGTTACCAGGATGGGGGAAGAAGACTTTGGAGATATAAATACTGGTGACATTCATATCCGCATGCAGACCTGTTCATTCGCGATAATCGACTTGTCTATAGGCTCTTCAAACACACTGGACTTCTCGCTCATTCTTCGTTCAGCTCGAGGTCCACCTTGTTCTCGTGCATTTAGGTGGTGCTTGGACAAGGCAGATTGGACCAGTTTTAAGGACCTATACAAGATATCGGTTGCTGTAGAAGAGCTTCCATCTGTGGTTGCAGCTGTTGTCATACAATTCCATGAACTGCCGAATCGTTCTCCAGACGACCCATGTCATGGTGGTCTCCGGACTGCTCAAAAGAACAGATGACTGTGAGAATTGCATGTACTAGGTGCCATCGGCACAGATGGGACCATTACCTGGTCGAGTTTCGGCAGACTTAAGCTTGATGTCGTCGGCAATGACATTCAAAAACCCCTTCATCATAAGTATGGAAAAGTCTGCAAAATTGCTGGGAAATTTACACCAGTCTTGAAGGTGGCTGGAGACACCAACCAATATGTGTTGTGGTCAATGAGATAGCAGAGGCATTTGCAACTGTCTCTCGCAGGGTAGAAGGTACTCCCTCTGCTTGTTCAATATGCAATGATTCGCCCTATCTCTGATGAAACTTATGCCGTCGTGCTTGATATATTCAATAGAATGTGGCCAGAGGGTGTCCTCTCGTCTGTC